TCCCTGTTTACTCTCCTCCCCACAGAACTGGGCTGGGCTTTGGGGTCATGTCAAGGTGGCCCAGAAAGAAAGAGTCAGCTAGAAAAACGGCACCTTTTTAGCCCTGGGCACAAGTGTTGGGTGCCCGGTGAGGGCTCCTGAGCTGGGTGTGGCCGACTCACTCCGCTGAGCCCCACCTCAGCCTTGGCTACTGTCTGCGGGAACAACCTGAGAGATGGAAAATGGCCTTTTCCTGACATTGGGGTGCCACCTTGCTCCCAGATCTGTGGTTTGATGGCTGCTTTGGGAGCTATTCTCAGGGCACACAAAGAACGCAGACACAGCTGGAGGCATACGTGGTTACTTGTGAGGGTCAGATATGTTGATAGTGAGTCAGCGTGTCCTGCGATGGGGCTGACAGTGTCCTGTGGAAACAGATAACTGCTCCAAGGAGAGAGCTGGGAATCAGGGGAGGCTTCATGGAGGAGGTGATGTTTAAACTGGGCCTCTAAGGGAAAGTTGAAATTGACTCTGGTGGGGAGGGGCAGGAAAAACATATGATAGGAAACTCCAAGGCAGATAAGAGAGAAAAACATAGTCAAGGAAGGGCGAGTGGTCCTGGGTGGTCAAAAAGAGGTTGAGGCCACTGGAATTTGGGCTTTATCGTGAGGTAGTGGGGAGCCATGGAAGGCTTTTGAGTAGAGAAACAATCAGATTTATGCTCTAGAAAGATCAGGGTTAGAAGGTTAGGAGGTGGGATTGGGGACGATCGAGCCCCCCACTGCCTCCTGAATCGGGGCCGTGGTTTTGGAGATGGGTGCAAGTGAGATTCTGAGTGAGAGATTCTAGCAATAGAAGGCAGAGAAAAGGCCGCTGGCTTGTGAGCTGTGCTGAGAGAGGGCAGAGCAGAGCAAAGCGGCCAGGAGCAGGGGCTCTGGGTTCAAATCCCAGCTCTGCGGCTGTGTGACCCTGGGTGAGTAACTCCACCTCTCTGAGTCTGTAAGATGGGGCTAATCACAGTGCCTACCCCACAGCAGCGTGGGGAGGATGAGTTAATGGGCATAGAGAGCTCAGGGCACTGCGGCCGGGCAGGTCTTGGTAAGAGGTAGCTCTTACAGTTCTGCCCCCTGCGCCTCCAGGAGCCCAGCCCTGACACTGTGACAATTCCTGTTCTCTTTCCCTCCCACAGCAGAGCTGGCCTGAACCTCGGGGACTTTGGCTCTCCCAAGAGAACCCGGATCCTAGGTGAGGGAGTTAATTTGGAGTGTGGCCCGGTGGGCAGGTGTGGCCTTGGGCTGGGACTGGCAGTCAGCTGTGCTGGGGCCGGGAGCTGGAGGAGCCGTTCCCTCCTCGTGTTTCTTAAATGCGGAAAATTAATCATTTCTGAGGTGAGCTGGGCAGGGCTGCCCTTTGCTCTCCCAGGTGTGCATCAGCGGGAAGGGCAGCCAGGACTTTTGGGTCCCATCCCTGTGGCCAAGTCACCTGGTGGGTACCTGCCCTCCTCCGCGGGGCATCCTCCACCCCTCTTTGGCTTGGCTGAGGCTGGCTGGGTCACTGGCCCAGGGGCATGGCTGCTCCTGCCTTGTTGGGAGTACGGAGGCCTCTGTGTGGCGTGCACCCCCTGTCCTGTGCCTTACCGGAACCTGAGCCCCACTCTGTACCAGCCCCACCAGGAGCCGAAGCAATGGCCTCAAAGCCTGAGAAGAGGGTCGCCTCGTCTGTCTTTATCACCCTGACACCCCCGCGCCGTGATGTGGCCGTGGAAGAGGAAGTAAGGCAAGCGGCTTGTGAGGCCCAGCGTGGCCACCCCTGGGAATCACCTGCCCCCATGAAGGCACCTGGGGCTGGCTCAGTGGGGAGGCCCAGCCCCTGGATGCCACCTGGCAGGGTTGCAGCCACAGTGCCAGCTGTGCCACCTCAGCTCTCCAATGGAGGTAAGACCAGCTCAGAGGCAGCACCAAGGTGGGGAGGAAAGGGCAGGCTCTGAAGTGATTCATTCATTCATTCATTCATTCATTCATTCAGCCAGCACCTACCACGTGCAAGGAGACTCTGGAGCCCACATGCCTGAGTATGAATCCTGGCTCCTCCGTTTCTCAACTGTGTGATGTTGGCAGGCCATTTAAACCCTCTGTGCCTCAGTTTTCTAATCTGTGAAATAGGGGTAAAGATAGTATCTTCCATCAATTATGTTTCAACTAAGAAAAAGAAAAACAGGAAAAAAAAAAAAGATAGTGCCTTCCTTAAGGTGTAGTTGTGAGGATTAAATGAGTTAATACATATGTAAGGTGTTTAACTCGGCATCTGTCATGCAGAATGCTCTAAATGTGTTATCTGCTGTTATTATTATTCTGGGAGATGAAAAGAGAAACAAGGTTTTCAGCCTGCATGAAGTTTACATTCTAGTGGGTGAAACAGAGACCATGAAAATACAATATTTAATGTTGGGTAGACACAAGTGCTGTAATGGAATAAGACATGATTGTTGACCTAAAAGAAGAAACAGGCAAAAATGTAAGATAAAGCTTATTTGGGCCAAATTTGTGGACTGCAGTCTGAGAAACACAGATTCAGGATGCCCCGAGTATGTGCTCCATGCGGTAGCTGTTTTGAACTCATTTTTGCAGGAAGATTGGGCAGTTCCAATGTTTGCCAAGAATTTACACTGGTTCACTCAAATCACATAAGCTTCTTCTTTTTTTTTTGTCTTTTTTTCGTGTCCGGCAACGGATCGCAACCCTCAGTGTCGCGCCCGNGCTCATCTCTCTCTGGGCCTGATGAGTTTAGCAGACTTCAAATAGCTTAGATTGCTTTAAGCCATTTTCCTTTCTCACAGTGAAGAGGTGAGAAGGTGTCACTTTTTATGGGGTGGTCAGAATGGTGGTGACGTTTCAGCAGAGACCTGAATGACAGGATGGAGCTGGCCAGGACGAGGTGGAGCTGGAAGGGCAGTGGAAACAGTAAGTGCAAAAACTAGAATAAATTAACAACCACCACCCTTAAAAACCACCAATAAGTAAAATAATAATAAAGAAAAAGAAAAAAAAAGTTAAAAAATTAAAAAGAAACAGTTAAGAGCAAAGGCCCTGAGGCAGGAACGAATCTGGCAGGTTGAAGGATCTGAACGGTGGCTTATTCTCTCTTGAGCTCTGCTGTTCACTTGCTGTGTGATCTCAGGCGAGATGTTTCCTGGCTCTGGGCCTCGGTTTCCTCTTCTGGAAAATGGAAATTCAGTTGTGTGTATGATGTGTCTATTGCAGAACGGACACTTCATAAGCGACTGCTCCCTCACCTGTGCTCTGCCTGAGCTGGCCCTGTTGCCATGGTGACAGGGAGCCTTCCGGTCCTCTTTCCCTGCCACTCCCATGGAAAGTCTCAGCTGTTGTGCTGGGTAGGAATGAGGCAGGGTGACAGTCCAGGGCCCCGTGGCAAATGGATGGCTCATTGTCTGATGGACCAGCTAGAACATCAAGGCCTGAGACACTAAGGCTGAGG